AAAAAAAAATTACAGCTACTTCTTCACTCCAAACAAGGATAAAGGCGAAGCTGCTGGAGGTGGATCTACGAACAGTGTGCAACTTTTAGTCCTGTTAACGTGGCCGCGATGTGTTTCGCACCTGGACGCTTTTTAGGCTTACACTTTCAGTCTGATCCAAAACCGTTTCGCAGCAGCACACTCTCAAACCAACCACTAACAAGCAATCTTTCTAATAACTGCTATGATTGCAGTGGCAGCAGTATCGAATTGCTGCATAACTGTCTGTAAATCTGACTCTCAAATAAGAGCCATTAACCGTACCAGTGGTATGGAAGTTCCAAAAACAAAATGCATGCGCATCTATCCCTTTCCTCATTTTGCTGACATCTAGTGAACAATGCCTGGAACATGTGAAGTAAAAAAGCGACAGCTCATACAGACTCCAAAAAGAGAAGGCCCAACCAGCGGCTTACCTCCGCAAATAGACAGAGACCGAATTAAACAGTACTGCAATTTGGGACTGTTAATAAGGAGGAGTGCAATAAAATCTAAGAAGTGTACTGGATTAAGATCGACATATCGAGCATTTTTCTCTTATATTTCTAGTTATCCGTTATATCACGAACAGTATCTGTGCCCGGGACTACTCATGATATAACGGATAACTAGAAATATAACAGAAAAATGCTCGACATGTCTGTGCACCTGTACACTAATAACGATGATCTTTTTGAAACCTTCCAACGTCACTACTCCGCATTCGTCCATGACATACTTTTGTAATAACAGAAAACAAAACGCACGGAGAAAATCGTGTGAGAAGGCAACATCATCATCGTAGTCATGCTGCGAGAAGCGACAAGTCACTGAATCATTTCGTGATGGGCAACCAATTTTTTCCAACAGCGGTGGTAACGAGGTGATCAGCTCACGAAGATGCACAATGAACACTTCATCGGCACTGATCTGCTTATGCGTTATCAGCGTTGCGAATACAGCAATCGCATCGTTCCTCAGATGCTACAATAAACGACAGAAGTGATTATGAGTCCAAGCAGCGACGGATGCAAGTGCAGGCAGCGTGCATCTATGTAAAACTTTATA